CCTTGTTGAACTGTTATAGGAATGGCTTTCATAAGCTTGACAGAGCGGGCTTTGCTTCTTTGACTGTTTGGAATATGAAAACATGGAAGGCCATGGTATGTATGTTGCTTCAAGTGCTTTTCATAAAAAACTCTCTTTGATATGCTTATGTTTATCTAATTTCTGTTATACATTGTGAAGACAGTGCTTCCTCTTGGTGAAGATCCTCCGGCAATTACATCACTATGCTTCAACCACAATGGTAAAATTTTGGCAGCTTCAGCAGCGGATGGAATGATTCATATGTTTGGTATCCTCATTTTTCTGTCCTGAATGTATAAGCTGTATAAGATAACTTAATATGTCTACTCAAATTGTTTTTCCTTCATGCGATTTTACTTTGTGCTGTTAATTTCTCAATTATAGATAGTGAAATGTCTGCATGTGCTAAACCTTGGAATCAACTCTTGATGCTCATGATTGCTCCATTTAGATGGTTCCTCAACAACACTGCTAATATTATTTCATGGCCATTTAAGAACTTAGAACAAGAGAGATTTTACGAACTAAAATGTTACTTAACTAGCAAAAAGACATGTCTGCTGGCCTTCAAATCACTGGGTGGCCAGCCCATGATACAGCTGTAAGCTCACTGCTATTTGGACCTGACGAGACTAGCATTTTCAGCTTAGGATCTGATGGCAAGGTAATAAGTTTGTCTTTTTATTTGTAGCATTATTTTAGCATAAGCATCTGCTTTCATGTTTGCTCCCATGTTACATCGCCCTTTAGCTCTGAAATTTGAGCATCAAAGAGCTCTTTTTATGTTTCGGCAGTCAATTATTTTCCATCTCCTCTACCTTGACTGACTGTCAGTCAAGGTTACTGGAACCATCAAACACACAGTAGTTACGTTGCTGATTCCAATGTTACTTGAGCAACACTTTTTTAGTCATTTTCCTTTTCTTGTAATGCTTATCATGAGAATGTAATGTGTGGATTGCAGATATTTGAATGGAGCTTGCAAAACCAAGGTCGGGTTCTATGGTCACGAGATTGCTCTAGGTATCATGTTTGTACCTTTCCACAATAGCATCTCCTTTTTTCCCCCTTAAAACAGTTCTTGTTTGCATAAAAGTTCGCTGATGGAAAACTAGGTACTATGTTTGTACCCTATCCATTATAGAATCTTCTTTTTTCCCTTGAAACAACTTGTCTGCATAAACATTGGCTGATGGAAAACTGTCCATGCTTTCAAACTAAGTTAAAAAGTTTATTTATCATGCACTCAATTTAGTGTCATTGAGAAGGGTAAACTATATAGGTTTCAAGATGATATCAATTTTTTGCTGGATGATTCACACAAAATGAGTCTTTTGTTTAAGTTCTACTGATTTTGTTTTCCATGATCCATCTGGTTAGCAATTTAATCACCTATACATGGTGCTGTTGTTATGTTAATAACACTTACCTCCTATTCCCTTATGGTATAGAATTTGTATGATTGCCTATGGATCCAATGACATATACCAATGTTTTGTCATCTGGTTATGAAATCTGCCAATGTTAAATTGTTTGGCAGGCCAAAAAATAGATTTTCTTAGTAAGGCAATAGTTTCCTGGCCTATATATGGTAATGGACTTCGCCATTTGCATTGACTTCCTTAACATTGGGGTATTACAGCATCTGACTGGATATATAATAAGGCCAGTGAGATGGTCAATTATCTGGCATAATTTGTCATTGTGGTCATCCTTATAATAAATGCATCCTGTCTGACCTTCATTTCTCACTTATTTTGATATATATACATGGTAGTCCATAAATTGAATTTGACATTGTAGTGTATGAACCAACATGACTCGAAAAATTTTACCATCTGAGCACCTTTTGCTACCTTCTGCCAGTGTCTCATGCATACGGTAATCTATTTGCTCTTTAAACCATGTTGAGAAGAAACATATAGAAGTAAAGGGTGACAAATGCTTACCTAAATAATGATTATGATCATATCATCCTGTGGTTGTACTTTTCTGGAGGTCCAATATAATGAGTGACAAATGCTTTTGATGATCATTTGATGATTATGATCATATCAGCCTGTGGTTGTGTTTTGCTGGAGGTCCATAATGAATCACTCACTTGACTATTAATAGGTATTGCTTTCCGGAGAGCTTGAAAATATGCAGGCATGAAATAGCACTGGATTCAAATGGCAAAAGATTGTTGGTAACATCTGGTTCAGTTAGGTCACCGATATACCAGGCAAGCAGCTTCTCTTGTAATGTCTCGTTTTGTTTTCAGTCTCATCCTGGTGTAGACATATGAAGGTGGTTTCTAGCACTAAATTTTTCGTAGCTTCTCTTATAATGTCTCCTTTTCTTTTGTCGGTTGTATCATAGCACTAAATTTTGCTCAGGTACAAGGACACACACTTGGGCTACGCACATTGCCGCATAGTGGTGCAATAACGAGTGTTGACTGGCATCCAACACTACCCATTTTCATAACCGGCTCAGCTGACCATTCGGTTCGGGTTACTTCCATTATTTGATGGTCCATTTCCGTGGAGTTCCCAGTTACCGGCTTGTAATTCTCATAGAGATCACAGAAAGTTCCTTGTTTGCTATCCTCACTACCTCATGATCAGATGCCCAGACTGGTATGAGGTAGCTCTTCCAATCATTATGTTATTGACAGCCATTTTGACACTGTAATTTATGTTTCCTTAGTAGTGGCTGTTCGGCTGCTATGAAAGATATGGAAATCGAATGATCAGTATCTTTTAAGCAGTTACAAAAATGTTGTGGAATATTAATTTATTTGTTCTCGAATTGTATTCTTGAGGCTTTTATTGGAGGCAGTATTTGGTATTTGTATGAGACACTTTGTGTAGAACATCTGTCTATATTCGAGAACAAACGTTATGGACGTGTAATTTGGTTCCAAACTTGCGGTTGAATCACCTGATGATGCCTATCTGGAAGTTCTGAGTTTGATTGTAAAATGGATATATTTACTTCATCTTCGATTCTCATTTCGCTTTATAGCTACACTACTTGGAATATATTATATTGTTGTAAAATTTATTATTGTGAATGAATGGTTAATGGCTAGTTTGTGTAAAAATTATGCTGCCTTTTTCATAGGGATGAGATAGAGGTAAAAGGAAGAGGCTATAAATATTTTTTTTAAAAAAAATAGTCTTAGCATAATTAAACATATGACACGATGTAGTTAGTCCAAAATAATTGAGATTTTATGTTTCTCGTAATTGGTCGAAATCAACCTAGTCGTGTGAATACGAATGAATGACGAGCGAAGAAGTCATTGATATTTTAGTCCATCCGTCATGATACGAGCCCATATGCATAGATTTATTCAAGGTGGAAACGTTAAGCTCTCGAGACGTCACCTATACGAAGATCGAGAATCAGACATTTTTTGACCTGATCCCATCGATGCCCAAGTTATTAATGAGTACGAACACGAGTGGTCAAAAAAGATAAACATCGCTTAATTCGACACTAGCATACCTCGGGATCTAGTTAAATCGCTAACTTCAACTGAAGCATCAGGTCCCCTAGTCCAACTCCCCAAGAGTAAACACTTTGATTGTATAGCTTAGCTATCACATTTTTATATTGAAGTACCCTTAGATGTGCTTATGCTCTAACCTCACTGATTAGGTCAAGTCATGCTCGAAGTCCTTTTTGAAAGGTTTTTTGTTAAAATTCTCAATCAAGGTGTTAAAAAGACTATCTCAGGTGGTAGAATAACCACAGTGTCGAAAGTTAACTTGTATAGTGATTCTCTAGACCCAATTTTAGGTGTCATCCAGGAGGCCCACAAGATACTTGATAGCTTGTCCATCCAAGTACCTTTTACTCTAATGATCTGCTTCTTTAACCCTTTGAGAATGACTTAATTGGTGACCTTGGTGAGACTGTTGATCTGAGAATGAGCCACCGAGCTAAACTTTAATTGAACTCCGTAGGATTAACAAAACTTCTTAAACTTCACATTGTTGAATTGAGTTCCATTGTCGATGATGATAACTCTCGGAATTCTAAAGTAAGTGATGATATTCTTTCATATGAATCCCTCGAGATGCTTCTTGGTGATCGACTCTAATGGCTCTACCTCTACCAATTTCGTAAAATAGTCAACTTCAATAATGAGAAACATTTGTTGAACTGAGGTTGACGGAAAATGTATAACGATGTTCATACCCCATCGGGTGAAGAGTCATTCACCATTAATTGGAGTCAAAGGAACTGCTAATTGATGTTATATCCACGTAAAACTTTGGCACATGGGGCATCTTTGGGCATAAGCTATTGCATCATTGCGTAGCGTCGATTAGTAAAATCATTACCGAAGTACTTAAGATGAGGGCCTATCCACCAATGTGTTCCCTGTAGATACCCTCATGTATCTTAACGAGTACCCTCTCGATCTCTTAGAATGTTAAGCATTTGAGGAATAGTTGACTAAAAGGCTTACGATATAAGAGATCATTAATTATGTAATATCATGCTTGATGATGGTTGACTCGTTGGTAGTGCCTCGACCAACGACTAGCCCTCCTTTGGGGCTCGGGTTTCCCTTTACTTAGTTCACAATTAATTATGAGTCATTGAATACCTAAATGAATCAAAGCATAGAGAAGTACTTTATACTCAACTTAATTATTAGAGATTTTGAATCCAAACTGAATAATATACTTATTTTGAATCCACACCACCTCCTCTCTTCATCCACCAATAACTTCAACATATAATTGTCAACCTCATACCAAAAAATAAATATTTCTGAGATAAAATCTACCAACGTGTGACTAACCAATACAAAATAGTTAAAGATTTTATGTTTCTCGTAATCAGTCAAAATCAGTCCAGCCTTTGAGTGGCGTAAATACGAACAGGAACATAGGAACGTGAGAGTAATAAGTCCAATTCTTGGTGTTCTTATCTATAACTTTTGTTCGCAAATTCATTAAAACATACTAATAAATTAGATTATTGCATCATAGTATTCGATTCAGTTTCGCTTAAATACGATGATGATGGTGTGATACGAGAATTTGGTATAGTAAATTGGTTTGGTTAATCGACTGGTTGAGGACCACGTCTCGGATTCGGACACCCAACCCCAACCCCAACCCCAACCACCACGTTACGTATCACCTAAAACCTCCCCACATCAACGTAGGAAGTAAAATAGAAAAAAGACAAAAGGCAAAAGGAATTAAAGAAAAAGGAGAGAAAGCAAAGCATCCATCCAAAGGCCCCTCGGGGATGTCGAAGCACCAATTCCTCCCTTTCTTTGTTCATTAGGGTTCGGGCACCCTCGTACGTTCTCTCCTGCGGGCAATGGCGAGCTCTCCTCGGCTCTCCGCCGTGGAGTCTGCCCTCCTCCTCCTCCTACTCATTCCCGCCGCCCGATCCGAAGGCATCGACGCCGTCGCCGACCTCTGCGGCGCCATATCCGACGGAGGGGCCCCCTCCTGCCGCGTCAGCTGCTTCCGGCCGGACCCCGTGTGCGGTGCGAACGGCGTCACGTACTGGTGCGGCTGCCCGGAGGCGGCGTGCGCCGGCGTCCGCGTCACCAAGCGGGGCCCTTGCCAGGTCGGCAGCGCTGGTACCGGCCTCGTCTCCGGCCAGGCCTTCCTCCTCCTCCACATCGTGTGGCTCATCGTCCTCGGCTTCTCCGTCCTCTGCGGCTTCCTCTGAGCACCAACTATTGTTGGCTTCTTCTCGCCGCAATCGTCATTCGCTACATTATTCTGGAAATGGCTTTTGGTTAGTAATAACAGATGAGAGAATTGTTAAGGTAAAAAAGCTAAATAATGTACTTTTTAGTGGCATCAAAATTCACATTTTGGAAATGATGTACTTTCACCAATCTTAAAAAAATCTTCGGGGAAAGCACTTCTCTTTATTCTATCGTTTATTACCTTAAAATTCGAAAACTTAAATCAGGTTTTAATAAGATAATAACATTAATATTCAATTCACAATATGTAACATTAAATTATAAACAGCATGGGATGGGATGGGATGGGTCGCTCATCAGAACCTGAGGGTCCCCGCAAAGTCGGGTGTTTCGTTAAATTCCATATCCAAAAAGACTTCCCAACCTGCATGAACAAATGATGAGGATCTTAAGTCAGGTCATCGAGCATGGTTATGCAAGTACAGATCAATATCACAACAAGAGAGAGGCCTGAGAAAGCCATTCCTCCCACCTCACTATATCCCTTCCAGATGAACAGTATTTTTCAACTTGAATCATCAGATCATTCATTAGATGGCCACAGCAGGCTCATCCGGCAACACCAAATAGGTCAATTTGTAGCATCAGGTCTTCTTTGCTTGTAATGTTTCCACACACAAAAAAGTCTTCTCCAGCATCCCCCTGCAAAACTTCATCCATGAAAGAGATCTTTCAACACCATAAGTTTATATGATAAAAGTGCAGTGTTCTTAAAGGAAAAAGGGAAACAAAAAAGCACAGAGACCAACACCATGCAGCAGAGACTCACACCTGCACTCTGCTACATAATGAAAATTCTTGTGATGGAATCAGCCTCTACCAACAAGCAGAGCCTTTGGGCCAGTGTAGTGGTATTTTTTTACCAAGACAAGAAGCATCATTACAGGAGATGGTTACCATTGGTATGTTATTACCAACTTTGACAAACTTAATCACAAAATGAAATAGGGCTAAGTTGTGTTCAACATTGTAGTCTGATCAAGAAGACAAGAACCAAGCATGAAACACAATATGTACAAGGTAGATTCACCTCATAAACGTTTAAAATATCGTAGGTCAATATTATGAGACACACAAACCCGATTGCAATATTAAACCCCAAATGGTTCCTAACAAAGACAATTTTGGGCTTCTCAAATTATGTTGCCAATTCCTAAATTGATGCTTTCAAACATCAAATAGAGTGCATTACATTTAATACCTGTGAGAACAACTAATCATGATGGCCATGTTGCACCGCAAATTTCACTGTGTTAGCAGCTTGTCATGTACACCAGAAACTGCATAAAAAAATGAATATTCATCGATTGTCATAGCATGAAGGATTCAGAGAGCAAATAATGCACAAAGCAAAGCTGCTGAGACCTTAATGAGTCAAAATATCCTCAAAATGAGAAACCACAATAAATGGGATCATGTGATAATTTATGTACTTGCACCCTGTCAGCTGTGAAACTAAAAGAATAGAACATCACAATTCTCCAGCACAAAATGATGTTACTCTCTTGGTGTCAGTGTCATACCTATATTGAACTTGTAGAATTAGACATCAATTTCAGGATTTAGGTTCGAGTTCATATTGTAAATGAAGATAGATGCCCAACACTTCAACAAATGTGTATGATAACCTGGAAAAGCAAATTTGAGAAATTCACATCATTTAACTAGCATAATGGAACATACCAACACAAAAAAAGGAAAAACAATAACAACAGCAACAACAAAAAAGCAACCTGATGACTAGAAAAATGGCTAAAGTTGAAGGTTGTAGTTACATAACACAATTAACCAAAAAAACTAATACACGAGAAGGTGGTGCCATCGCCAAAGGAGGAAACAGCTAGGGGTCACCTCGGCTTTCCAAATTCTTCTCATATATCCTGTTTTGTTTTCTTTATCATGAATGGAAAGTCATATCTTATCATCCTAGCATACCATGAACCAAGTGGATATCCCATGGCCATGCTCAAACCCACCTGGAATGTTGCACATTGAATGTAACTTAGGTCAATTTTCAAGGGAGATCAAGGTCAATTTATATCATAATTACTAAGGTTACTCCCCTTCAGAAACACATTCCAAGCTGTGTCCTGACTTGCAGGAACCTTTCATCCTATAATGCATCAGAACATGATCTGATGAGACAACGATTCAGGTCTTGAATATATTTAGAAAAGATGAGTTGGTTGTGGACCTTCTGCAACCAGAGAGAAAGGATAAGATTATATGAAAAATGATTTTCTTAACATGATATCCATGGACAAGTACATATAAGCATAAAATGCTAAGGTTTGTTCATCAATGTTCTCCCCCTATACTGAGGAAAAAGACTGTTACTAAAACCCAATAATCGACAAGGAATACAAGTAATATTTCTAAAGTACTTATCCAAACTCAGAGGAAAGTGGGATTCAAGCTAGATACACAGAAGTTGTTTCTTGCAAGTAGACCACAAGTCATTAAAGAAGTGTCATTTATATCAAGTTCTATAACATCTTAAACACAGCAACCATCTTAATAGAGCATAAAGCATATTCATATGATTCACAAAAGCCTGATACTTTTGTCACATGAGGCAGGCTAATTTGAAAAAGTAGTCAACTGCAATAGGATGGCATGACCAGATTACACCAACATTTTCTCCACCTTTTTTCTTCCAAGGAATTATAAGCTTAATCAAAAGGAAAATGCTACTCACCTTCAGTGAGGGAGCTGCTAATAAGCAGCTAGTGACATGAATAAATCAAGAATCAATAGCCGAGGTAACTTGGATCCCCAAGATACTCAGCAATCGCATCCAACCTCACCTTGATCATGTCATGACTATCTGCATCTCTTACCATTCCAGTATCCTTGTCAGTGTTCCTCTCCACAAGGCTCCCAAAGACACCCTTGTGCTTCCCATATAGCACAAGCACTGATCCTCCCCTCTTAGGCAGTGCTGTCTCAAGGATATCCTGATCCACACCTTGTACCAACTCCTTGCTTCCATCCATCGAAATGTCGCATGTTGTTGGGCCCACCACATCAATTACCTCCCCCTTCTTCAGGTACAGCTTCCCACCCATGAAATCCTTGCTGACTATTCTGACCCTAATATGGCTTGTAAGCCATCGGACTTTGTTCTCCTCACTCCGGTAATTGCTCCTGGAGCTTTCCTGCACGGGTTCACTCTTCTCCTCTCTCCTTTCATGCCTGTTCCTCTTCTCGTCCCTCCTCTGATCCCTGCCCTCATTCTCTGACGTCTTCAATTTCCTCAAGAACTTCTCTTCCTCTGTTGAGCCCAAATCAGCAACCATTTCATCCCTTAGTTTGACCTCTTCTCCAGTCTCAAGCAGCTTCAAAAATAGCTCAGAGCTACCCGACCTTTTCAAGACTTTGCCTTTCGACCCCATATGTCGACCTGATATAACCCTGACGATCTTCTCCTTCTCTTTTGTTTTCTCTTTTGCCTTCTCTTTCTCTTCTTCCGAAACCCAAAGTCCCCTTCTTTTCTTGGGATCTCCCGAGGATGGGTTGTATCCAATACCTTCGGAGCCACCCTTCCTCTTGTACTCGAAGACCTTGGTGTCGACCAGATTCTTGTTCCGCCCAACCGCCTGGCCTTGCGTCCACCCATACCCCGCAAGAACGGCAGCACCAAAATCCTCCACATTGATGTCTTTAAACTCCTCCATGCCTCGATCTTCCGGCAGATCCTTCACGTCCTCCCTGTATCTCCGGTGCATGAAATCGTCGTCCTGGGCACGGCCGCGGCGGCGTCCAGGGCCGTCCTCCTCCCGCTGGGACCTGGCGCCATCGGCGTCGCCCGCGGCGGCGGAGCGGAGGGTGAGGCCGTAGGGGATGTGGCCGGCGGGGGCGTCGCCGGTGGAGGTGTCGAGGACGAAGTGAGCGGTGTTGGCGGCGGCTGCGGAGGGGTCGTCGTCGGAGGTGGGGAGGGGGAGGAGGTTCTTCATCCGCTTCAAGGCGGGGTTGAGGTCGACGTTGGGGATCGGAGGGATGACGGGCTTGACGTCGCCGGAGCCGGGGGCTGCAGAAGGGTCGAAGACGGTGACGAACTGGGGCTTGACGCCGCCGTCATCGGCCTGCGCTCGGGCGGCCTTGGTAACGGTGGAGCGAGAGGATGGCTTGGAGGCGGTGGACGAGAAGGAGAAGGAGAGCTTCGTCGTCTCTTTCTCCATCTTTCTTTCCTGCCTCGGAGAAGAGAGAGCAGAGGCGGCGGAGATTAGCTCAGGAGGACGCGACGGGAGACGAAATCGGAGGAATCAGGGAAGGGGAAAGGATAGAGAGATCGAGCAATTAGGGTTTGGGCACGTGAGTGTCTCGGATAACAGTGAGAAGACTTTTTTTCCGCACGTGATATCATGATCTACAACTACTACATGATAATTATAAGATATTATATGAAATATATTCGAGCTAATAGTAGTAATTTAGATTAGTGTTTTTAATTAATAATGAACGAAAAATATCTTCTACTATTGGTTAATTGTAAAAAATATGCCTCTTGATACTAATAATAATTTACATCTTCTTATATTCATGGGATGAAAATAAAATTTTGAAGTGTAATGTTATAAAAGAAAAAAGAGGTACAAAAATGAAATTTTCTATAATAATATTTCTCCATAACTATTTGGGCGATTTTATTATAAAATACACATATTTGGGATATTTTTCAAAAGATACTCCACTTTTATTTTTTTTTTCAAACAATACCTCAGCTATTATAATGTTTTCTTGTGGTTTGTATCTCTTAATAGCATTTATAATATTTTATTATTATACTGAAAATACTATAAACATTATAAACAATATTTTTAATGTTATTATATCGTGTCTCTTTAATTATCATTACTCATAGATCATTATAATGCTATATTTTAGACTTATAATTAATTTGATTATTGTTATGAGTCTATTTATATCATTTATAGTATTTTTAATTAGGTTTTATAATTTTCTATTGTGATAGTCAAAACATTACAAAAGATCAAAAAATATAAAAACGGATAAATTTTTTAGAGATAATTTAAATATTTTAAAACTTAAGGATGCTATTTGAGAAAAAAATAAAATGGGATATCGATCGAAGAATAATTAAAATTGAAATATTTTTTAGGAAAATCGCTCTAACTATTCGAGCCACTTGTATTAACGAGAAAAAAATAAAAATATTTTTATTAATATCAAATTTGTTTGTTAATCTTGAGCCTACTTTTTTTTTTTATAACAATTACATCTAAATATAATCAAACTTTCTCCCAACTCAAATGAGAACTCGGACACCTAGCTTGAATGATCCCAAGTTATAGAGATATACTTATATCGAAAGTATGATCGATGAGACTTTAGGAGAAAGAAGAATAATTATATATGGAGTCTTACTAACTCTAACCTCATGCAATTAGCGAAGTACACTTAATATATTCAAATTAGAATTAGTGTCAATATGACAAGTATTATTGCTCTACATTGCATGTCAGATCATATTTAACATCTCAATTCTTTACCACTTTAGGTGTCATACATACATGAATGAATAAGGAATATTGGGTTGTACAAATTTGTTTGGCAAACAAACACACAAATTAAAGATCTATGTTTGTCTCCTTTAATTGATAATATCCCATGTTCATATCAGCCAAACAAAAATGTCTCTAATGGCAACCATTGTAGGATGCAAACTATCACATTATTTTGATAAAACCTGATGAACCAAATCAGAAAGTAAAAACCCTAAATCAAGAATGCAAACATACATGTCACTTAACAATCACGTTATGCAAATCATTCTTTCTTTACAACATCATAGCAAAAGATTGTTCTTTTATAACATGTGAGACTATAATTTGAGTCATGAAAACAATATTTTTAAATTTTGATATTATATATCTATTTAAAAAATCAAAGTTTTTCTTAATCCTCATTCATAAAACTTGGTTAATTAAAACTAACCATAGTTAACGGTCATATAAAAATATACTTATGTGCTTCAAATATCTTTTGTTAAATTTAAATTTGATTGTCCGAGTTGGATGCTGATTAGATTGTCCAAGTTGGATAGTGATTCGGAGCAAGCTAGGGCTCAATCTCATGTTTGTCCTTTGTCGGTATTGTGAATGATCAAATCTAAAAGATGTCGAACTTTATAAAACTATATCGATGTGTGCCAAATAAATTTTTTTTATATTTAAGTTAGTTTTTGAGTTAAGGTATTGGTAAAATACCGAGCATGGTAAAAGCGAAAGCATTAATTATATGATAATTGTTCTATCCTTTGGAATACATACAATAGATATTTTATATGATAACTCTAGAACCACTATGCTCACATACATACATTCATGTCAAAGATAGTTTCACAAATTTCTCGATCAAAGAGGAATCATATTATATTAAATCTAAAACATATGCGATGGAAATATTGTAGTCAGTAATGTTTATAGAGTATCATTATGTTAGCCACACATGATGAAAATACTATGATGGTAAGATGTCGATTACCTAATATTAAGATATTAGCCACTTAACATTTGAGGTATTAATGTGTTGATCATTTAACTCTAGAATTATTATACTTATAGATATATATTAATATCAAGAATAGTTTCATATATTCCTCGAGGAAACGTATTATATCAAATCTAAAAAATATGGGATGAACATATCATAGTCGATAATGTCTAGAGAATATCATCGTGTCAATCACATATGATGAAAGTACCGTAAATATTATTATAATATATTAATTACATAATATCAAGATCTTAATCATCTAGTATTAGATGTTTGTCACTCGATATATATAAGTTTCTGTATCATTATTTCTGTATCATTTTTAATATAGTTATACTATTATAAGTTTTAAAAAATATTTAATGTTATTTATAGTTTCAACAAATACCTAGTGAATATTATTATAATATATATATGTATTATATTTCAGATTTTATAAGGATATATGTTTGAACTTAGAGAAATATACATATATATATATATATATATATATATATATAAAATTTAAAAACCGCAGCAATATAAACTGGCCATTAAAGGCACAATTGTGTGCTTGGCGCCGGCCTTTATATATTGAGCCGAACCCTATCAATAGTTGCTGAAGAGGGAGCGAAGAGCTGCGGCGTCGAGGGAACGATGGCAGCGGACGACGTAGCGAAGGAGCGGAGAAAGAAGAAGAAGAAGAAGGATAAGTGGGGGCAGCCAGTGGTCGCGCCCGTGGAGGACGCTGAACTAAGTCGAGAAGAAAACCCGTCGCAGCGAGATGCCGAGGAACAGGCGGAGGAGGAGGAGGCGGCGCCGGGCGGCGGCGAGTCGTATGATCCCAACAAGGTGGTGGTGAGCGGGATGCCCTACTCAGCCACCGAGCAGCAGATCAGAGACTTGTTCAGGGACATCGGCCCCGTCGTCCAGCTTCAGCTCTCCCGCTTCCCCGACTCCGGAAACTTCCGCGGCCTCGCCTTCGTCACCTTCCAGGTCTTGCTTGCCCTTTTCTTCCATTTCTAATGTACATCCCTTTACTGCGTCGTATATTTTCGTGTGATTGCGAAGTAAGCTCGCGTACAAACTCTGCCATTAGTTAATGCTTACCTGATGGAAGAATAATTAGATGGAAACGGGGTTAAGGATGTAGTTGCGACTAAGATGGTTAAGCGATCACGCTAAGCTTAGAAGAAGAAAGAGCACATGCAAATTAATATGGTAAGCTTAGGATATTAATATGCAAATTAATATGCAAATTAAAATGAATTTAATTGGGATCTTCCTTGTATGCCGCAGTTTAATTTGAGCTTTCAAATTAGAAGCACCCACAAAGGATTTCCTGTTGTGAATCTTGTTTGTATGCTTGTCTGTTGCCATGAAAACTATTTAGTTTGATGATTGTAGTAGAAAAAGAAGAATTAGTTTAATCTGAGAATTTGGTCTCGGTGATTGTACTAAAAAGTTTGATGTGGAAATCACAGAACTAATTAGGTCAACGTTAGATTTGGACAAAATGAAGGAATCTTTTTATCTGGGCAATGTAGTGAGATATAGAGAGGTTGTAATGATCTCTGCAAGGTCAGATTAAGCGAGTTGCCTTCTGTCTAGTATCGAGGAAGCCTGTTGATAGCAATATATACTGGTGAATTTGCAAGTAAAACGATGACAAAATGTTGAGGTACCTTTTACCAAGATAAACAAATACCCAATTTTAATCATGTTGACTGAAGATTACATTGTTGATGTCCCTTACATTTTTTAGTGAATCATAAGCAAGAGTAGATACGGTTAGAACTTGGAATAAGGATAACTCAAGTCATAAGGCTTCTGTTTAGATATGTGGAGATTATTTTAGCGATACGAAGTCATGATACTCATTGTCATGGAATAAATCTTGATATTGTTCTCAGGCTAGTACTTATTATGTAAATATCTTCTGTTTGCAAATTGTAATAGAAAACTATTTGACAAAGGGCATGTTTGTAAGCTGACCTGCAACTTGTATGGATGTTTGGCATAAGCAAATCCTATGAAAAATTAATGAAATTCAACTTTCTTATAACCTTATGAACTGATATATTTGTCGAGGAAGAAGAGATGTGCTTGATAGCGTTTTATGTCAGTATTAAAGACTTGTTATCTTGTTGGACTGTAGTAAACAGTGCCAGTCTGATGATTCAGAATGCCAACCATAAACACAGTCCAAGGAATGTGATGTGTGGTATGCATGAGAATGTTGACAGATGCCTCTTTGATGGTCTTAGCCCTAGAAGGCCTTGGGGCAAAACATATGCCTTCATCTCTTGGATATTAGTTCTAGATGAGTGTCTCGCTACAACATCTGTAAATCTAGTAATGCAAGGAGTGCACCAAAAGGAGAAAGAGTCTTATGGAGCCAAGTTGGTGTGGTCATAATATGAGGAAGGCCTCAACTAAGGTGGGATCTTGAACTCATTAAGTGAGATACAGAAGGTGTGGAAGATTGATATAATACAAAATAATTCTTGGGACTGTATCTGCAAATGTTTCCACAGGCAGAAGCTATGGGCAATTAATAATTATATTTGGCCAAGAAATGTTAGTGATTTATGAAAAATATTCAATTTCTAAGCTGGATTTAGTTAACACAAGCATGATCCAGGAAAAGGGTTCTGACTTCCGAGTCTTCACAAACCCACTGTCTCTGGATCTGAATTTTTATTGCCTTAGATTTCAGTTTATAGGATTCTGTCTTGTATCCTCATTAATCTTTCTGTGGAAAGGTTAACATTTTAGTCTAGAGATATCTGTTATACCATCTTCATTAGACATAATATCATAAGTTCCTACCAATTTTCTGTGTTGTGTTTGTGACTAAATTGTCATTGATGTCATTGTTATGTTGTTGTACTGACTCACATAAGCAATATATTCTAATTGGGACATATTAATCAAAACAAGTTAATGTTTCACTCTTTTTCTATGGTTCATTTGCCCGAATTTGCTTTCTCATCTCAGTAGTTGCTTGGTCTTTCTTTAAATGGTGTATATAGCATGCCCATCGTTTTTTATAAGATAATGAAATTCAAAGAGAAAAGAAATTGAAAGAGAAAATTTGGTACTTGAAAGTAATCAGCTTCAATTACTCCTGCCTGACATTAACTCTAGAAACTCTTTAAGAAGTGATTAGCATAAAGATTCTTGGAGGTTGATTCACTTCCCAGGTCACAAGTGTGAATGTTAAAGTTTGTGGACTGCTGCCATGTATATAATTAGCCAACTATTGTTTTTGTTCATGCCAACATTTGTTCCTTGCATGATAATGGTGCTATAGTCATTGATATGCTTTACTGCAGTTGTATCTGATCATGATTTGATATATTTGTATCAGACTGAGGAGATGGCAACAAATTCACTTGATTTGGATGGAATCAAAATGTATGTCTTCTGTCAAAGTTGCTCTTCCTGATATCATATCTCTGTGATCGATCCATGCCGTTAACACTGTTTTTACTCTAGTTCAGGGGAAATAGATTTGTAAAGATTGAAAGATGTAGACTTTGTCCTCAGAGGAAGAGGAAATTTGAGTTCCTTGATGAACCCAAGAAGGTTGATGGGTGTTTCTCAGCATACGTCGGCAATCTCTCCTGGGACGTGACCGAAGATGACATAAGAGACTGCTTCAAGGATTCTAAGATCTCCTCAGTAAGGTTTGCACTGGACAAGAGGACAGGACAGTCTCGCGGCTTTTGTCACATAGACTTCGAAGATGATGAGTCGCGGGAGGAAGCCATGAAGAAGAATCAGTTTGAATTCCTTGGAAGGCCGATGAAGATCGCCTATGCGATCAGCACTAGGAATTGACCTACGAAGCCATATCATGTCCTACTTGTTTCATTCTTGTTTTAATTTGCATCTGTGATGATAGTGTAATCTTCGTAGAAGGCATCGTTTATTTTAAGCTGACTCCTTAATGTCAGGTCAGTATGCTTATTAAGAACTTTTATGGTGAGTTCAAGTGGAACGGAAAAGGTTTGCCGACTCCTACGTCCTAGCTAGTGTTAGCTTGCTTGCCTTATTTTAGAGAGAGAGAGAGAGAACACTCAAATTTGTATGCAATCCATATCTTGCGAGTCTAAAAGTGGATCTCTGAACCTAAGCTGGAAGTATAAGGAGGTGAGGTGGTCCCGAGCGTCCAACTTACACATGGTGGAGTGTTGGCAACCATCCATCCAAAGTCCCACTATGGATGGGAAGATTGGCATGCGATTTTTCATAGTTGATGTAGACACTTTGATGAAAAGTGTCATTAGTTAAGACAGTGCTCATGGTGTATTATTATTTTTTAATTGGAAGATATTTTTATTACATTTATTGGTCTATATAATGCTGATATGTGGATTAGAATCTAAGATATATTATTTATTATATAATAAAATATTAATCAATTCGAAAATCTTAAAAATTATTACTCTTAACCCTTTTTCCAACGAATAGCATTATCATACATAATAATAATACACTAGACCAATTCGAGCATCTGAAATCTAAAAAATTGTTACTCTTAACACTACCAAAAGATAGAGATAGAGAGAGAGAAAACATGGAGAGAGAAGCACTACCAAAAGATATAGGGATAATCGGATATTATCCCTATATACTTACGAAGCACTATCAACTTAAGTAGCATTAAGAAGGTGAAATATTTAACCCTAATTTTTTTTATGTCGTTAACTTAAAATAACACCAATGAAAATAAAAAAGATAAAAATATAATTTTTTTTTATTTTTAAATTATTAAATTTATATCTACTTCTTGCCTTAGTCGATTTCTCTTTCTCTCCTCTTTCTGACCTACTTCCCACCACTTGCCAACCTGTATTGCTCGACGGCTATCGCATCTACAACACTCGTTGCCACCAAACCTGCACCGCTTGACCGTCGCATGTTCTACATCTTATCGTCACCACACCTGACCCACTCAATAGTAATCTCATGCATCGCTCGTTGTCGTTGCACCGAACTTAGCTTGCCTACTGCACCTTGCTCTCTCGTCGCCTCGTCATCCCCGCCCTGGTTGACGACGATCTCATCATCGTCAAAGAAGCTTGTTGCCTATGCGTCTCCATTATTGGGAAACATTATGTAGCATCATATGCGCAGTGGAAGAACAAAAAATAAAAATATTAAATTTCCCACAGAAAAAAGTTCTTGTTATCGTGTAAAGATTGGTGCGTGAATAACCCACAAAACCGAAAACTGTGCATATGTGAAAGATGTGTTACCTAGGGAGATCGTACATTCCTATATATTTTCAAATCTGTAAGAGAGGATAAAGGAAGTTAGATGTCCCCATCTCTAGCGGTGATCCACGTGATAGATGGGACAAAAACACTCCTCAAATCGCTGCATGATCTTTCTCTCTATGCATACCACGTGATCAAGAAGGGGCCAACCCTTCTTAGTGTCCACATAACCCAAATTGCGGTTGTCAGTTGAGGAGGAGAGGAAGAGAGGAGAATAGGAGATTGACATCCAAAAGGGATCTAGTCTATGCTCATTTAGTTCCCTCCTATTTATAGATGTCTCTATCAACTTAAACATAATGAATCCTGCTTTATTGGGTACTAGATCTGCTCTATTGGGTACTAGATCTCCATCCAACTATCTAAGTCTCTTGGATTAGTGGATCTCTATTCAATAATCTCTCATCGGTACTTATTGAATTTTATCTACAAGATCTAATAATTTAGGGATTTACTGAATATCCAATAAGATAGGGGCTCCAACAGATATCTCATATTTGAACCTCTATTCGTTGTAACACCTACCATATGTGTGTAACACTCTAGGCCCAATATCGAGTTGGTCATAAGTCATACATGTCAGAACTTTTTCTAATTTAGTAAATTATTATTTGCATAATAATTCATTCGACTCATCGACTATGGATATATTAGGTCACTACATCGCAGTTCTCAAATGATATTGGGGAATCCAATCAATTGGATATGTTTGTCCTTAGTTACCATATATTTATAGTCTCTCATTCATCTAATATCTCACAGACTGTATACCAAGCATGGTGCTATCAAGCCCATATGGAGTCTCGCTCTAATCAGATTCTCCCAAATAACTTTTTATCTCAATCCCAATGATCCTAATCAAAGATTTACTTGAGCAAGAATGCGTACAATATTCCTCTCATAACACTGAGAGTAGATGATCCTCTATTAATACTCAATTATCCTCGTAAGGTTGACCACCACTCTTGATAACTGACTATGTTAGATCTGAAACTCCCAAACCTATAAGTCTTGTATAAAAAAAATAGAATACTTATACAAAACATCATTGATATCTCAAGTCTAAGGACCAAAGAAATAATTGGGGCCACAGAATCACTATTTAACAATGAGGTGTTATCTACCATCCAACATTCCGTGAGCGGATCAATTAGTGAACTCATTCCCCAATAAGCATTTACATTGTATCCCTATTGTCCCCACACGAGTAGTTATGAGATTAACTGTATCCATCTTATGAACGAGTATACAACACACCAGTCTGTACAGTTATTTCAATATCCCTTTCGAGTAATATATTACTAAGATTATTTAGGATCTGTATTTAAAAGTGAATCGATTTCATTATCATGATTTTATCACGATCTGATTCTCATTGCACTGATCAATGAACATCACAATATATGTAACAAGCAACATAAAGTGAGAAAAATACTAATAAATAATAATAAATAAAAAAATTATGTAGCGTGTCACACATGACATCATTTACATAATTGACTTACAAGACACTTATGACTAGCATCCTCTTAAAAATCAATCCACCAGCCTCGTATGGTGTCGCAACAAACGTGTCCAATTGTGGGATGGGCGAGCGATAGGCAAACAAATGCAGTGGTGGTCAAGCAATCCAGGAACAACGATGATCGAACAATGCAAGAGCAATAACGGTGGAGTAGTGCAATTCGAACGGGTGCGATGGGTGAGCAACAAACAAGTAGGTCAAAAAGAGAGGAGGAAGAAAAATTGATTAGAGCAAAAGTGGATATAAATTTAATAATTAAAAAAAATATGATATTTTTATTTTTTTTATTTATGCTCTTTTTGCTCGTGATAAATGATTTTTTCCTGAATTAAAGTTAAATATTTTATATTCGTAAGTATAAAAATTTTAATATTATTTCTTAAAATATAAAGATATGGATACTAACTATAGTTAACGGGGTAATACCCAGATATGTGCAACTGCTCTCTCTCTCTCTCTCTCTCTCTCTCTCTCTCTCTCTCCTCTGCTGCATGCTCTTTAATTCTTCTTTGTCTGTACCCACGCTATCGTCCACAAACGCGGTTACTCCCCTTTCTCTTCGTCTCCTATAAATCTTCCCACCCTCGTTTCAGCGGCCTCCAAATCAAATCGGTGTACAGCTGCATCCTCATCCCCTCGTCCCCTTTCTATTTCCTCCTCACTTGAGCTGCTGCATTCGATTCGGCCATGTAAATGGAAGAGCAATAATAGGAGGCGTAAGCGGGCCGGAGTTATGAAGGACGGCGAAGGTGGCGGAATCCACAAGGGGGACACCGATCGCAAACCCCTTGCTCCCAATAACATTAAGGCCCCCTCCGTGTGGGGCGTTCTCGCCGGCGGCGGTCACCACCACCGCCGCAATACGAAGCCCTCGCTGCATTCCTGGCCCTCCAGCGACTGTAAGTCATTCTTTCGTTTGTACCGGCTCCTCTTGTTCCTCCTCCTCTCTGTTCTTCTCCTGTACTTCCTGTATACCTACAATCTCCTCTTCGCCCCCTTGCCTTCCTGTCCCATCTCCTCCTCCACCGCCGCAGCAGCCACCGACGATGTCATCCACCTCTCCTCCTCCTCCGCCACCAACTTTTCCACCAATGTTGGCAATCGTACCCGCGCCGACGTAGCCAGCTCGTCGCCGTCGATGCCGGTGCCGACGTCTCCTTCCCTCTCCTCTGCCGCAGCCGCCTCTACCGCCACGGGGTTGCAGCATATCGTGTTCGGCATCGCGGCCTCCTCCAAACTCTGGGAGAAGCGCAAGTCCTACATCAAGCTCTGGTGGCAGCCCCGCCGGATGCGCGGCTTCGTCTGGGTAGACAAACCCGTTAAGGAGCTGAACTCCACCGATCCCAGCCTCCCCGTCCTCAAGATCTCCGGCGACACGTCCCGGTTCCCCTACACTCACCGGAAGGGCGATCGCTCGGCCATCCGCATCTCCCGTATCGTGTCCGAGACGTTTCGCCTCGGCCTCCCCAACGTGCGGTGGTTCGTCATGGGGGACGATGATACCGTCTTCCTCCCCGACAATCTCGCCCGCGTCCTCTCCCGTTTCGACCACCGTCAACCCTACTATATCGGCTCCCTTTCTGAGTCTCATCTACAGAACATCTACTTGTCCTACAACATGGCCTACGGCGGCGGGGGGTTCGCCATCAGCGCCCCTCTCGCGGCCGCCCTCGCCAGGGTCCAGGACCGCTGCCTCCACCGCTACCCGGCCCTCTACGGCAGTGACGAACGGATCCAGGCATGCATGGCAGAGCTCGGCGTACCACTCACCCGCCACCCCGGCTTCCACCAGTACGACGTCTACGGCGATCTCCTGGGCCTCCTCGCCGCTCACCCCGTCGCGCCGCTCGTCACCCTCCACCACCTCGACGTCGTCCAGCCCCTCTTCCCTGGCGCCGTCTCCCGGACCGCCGCCCTGCGCCGCCTCTTCGACGGCCCCGTCCGCCTCGACTCCGCGGGCGTAACGCAGCAATCCATCTGCTACGAGGGGCGGCGGCTCTGGACGGTCTCGGTGGCATGGGGCTTCGCCGTGACGCTGGTGCGCGGGGTGATGTCGCCGCGGGAGATGGAGACGCCGACCCGGACGTTCCTCAACTGGTTCCCCCGCGCGGACTACACGGCCTACGCTTTCAACACCCGGCCGGTGGCGCGCAACCCGTGCCAGAAGCCCTTCGTGTACTACCTCACCTCCGCCCGCTACGATGACGCCCACCGGACCACCGTCACCGAGTACGAGCGCCACCGCCAGTCCCACCCGCTGTGTCGATGGCGGATGGCCGACCCTTCGGCGCTCGTGGACCGCATCGTCGTGTACAAGAAGCCCGACCCCGGCCTCTGGGACAGGGTCAGTGTGACCGACCCACGCACTCCTCCGTCCTTAATTAATCGATCATTACTTCTTGTTTATTCCAAAACCATCATTAATTAACGACTAATCCCTTCCTACTGCGAACTCCCATCAGAATGTTTCGTGGTCACCCCGTCATTACTTACTGTGACACATCTGGCAGGCGCCGAGGAGGAATTGCTGCAGGGTATTGTCGTCGCCGAAGGATGGGAAGAGGCGAGACGGGTCGATGGTGATCGACGTCGGAATGTGCCGAGATGGCGAGATCAGCCAGATCAATAAACAGTAACGTTGGTTTCTCTCTCTCTCTCGCTCTTTCTAATTCGCCGACCAACTGTTTGTAGTTATGACAATATGCTTTGTATGCTTAAAAATAGAGATTCCGAAGCTCTTCCGAGCTCTTTTGCTCCACCATCTCGTCGTGGGGGGGATTGAGTTGGAAACAGAACACGATCACACACGCCGTGTTCGGTGGGGAGGGTTGTGGTAGAGGGGTTGGGTGTTTACGTGCGGGCACTGTGAAGGCGTGGTGAAATGGGGCCCCATGAGTGCGACGCAGCAGATGCAAGCGTTGCGTTTGTGACGGAGTTCGCCATCATCGTATCGGTGGCAGTAGGTTTCATAGCAGGCAAAAACGACGACTTGAAGGGTACTCCAGCTTCGAGGTATGTGTGTATAGTGTTCTTTCTTCGATAGCTGGGACCATCTGATTAAGGTAACTGACGAAAATAAAATCGGAGTTTAAAATTTTGGGATATAGTATCAAGATTTTTTATCAACTACGTTAATTGATATTTTTAATGGAACATAGATTGATGGTAAATATTTTTTAGGTTTTTATCAACTAAGTTAATTGATAAATCTAACAGTTTTAGGTGATGGTGGAAATGTGAGGTGGTCCTGTCCCATGATCAGATTAGGTTTAATCATATTTGTAATAATTTTCTATCGGTCGGATCAAGTTTGATTAATTTTTAATATGAAATAAAACGAGCCTCTGATAGGTGCTCAAATCAAATTTGATTGCCTGTCACGTCAATGGTCTTGCAAAGCCAATTGGTTTTGGGATCAGCTTAGTTGCAAGATGAGGCCGAGGAAGGGATTCTATTTTGGCAAGTTGAGTCAGCATTCAGTCACAGACGTGGTGTTGATGTGGCATTCTTCAATTGTCGATCAATAAGGTTGGTGCCAAGGGTTTTTTTTTACTTTTAGTGTTTGCTTTGGTCTATTTGACTCAACTCGAATCATTTTCATGAGTCAATTTATTGGATTTGGAATAGGCATTTGAGGTTTGGTTAGGGCAGTAAAGACCAGTAGCTCGTGGGCGAAAGGGTTGAAGGAGATCGCGCCTGAGAGGACGGAATAGAGAGGAAGGTGCGTCCCAAGGAGTAGAAAGTGCTGGTGGGTGACCTGGGGAAGGTCGCCCCGTCGTCTTTTCCGGTCCGGAAGCCTGCCGCGTGGCCGCGGTGCTCCAAAGCCAGCCTGAGCGCGCCGCGTTGTACCTCACCGTGGCGGGAACACCTGTCCGACGACGCGCCGCAGAAAGTGCGGCGGAGCCCATCTGAAAATTACGGTATGTACGTGAGTTTAGTGACGGTGGTGACGCTGACGACGGGCCGCGGGGGTTCGTTCGGACACGGATCCATCAGCCACCCTGGCCTCGCGATTCTTTCTCAACGGAACGCACACAGACAACGTCCAGTTGTTTTGAACTATACACACATTTAACTTAATTACCAAAACTTGAGGGATTAGATTGTTAAGGGATTAGTTTCGTGACCTATTCGTCTCTCTCTCTCTCATGTCAGTCTCAAGTGAGCTCAAGATCAAACACGGTTTCTCGTGATTCTCTGACAAAGCTATATGGGTGTCAAAGTGTGGTGACTATCTCCTCCATTATTAAACGGCGTACCTTTTGAGGTGTTTCGCATGTTGCCTCCGGACACGTGAAGCATCAAAAGTAGAGGACAGATGGGGGAGTGGTTAATGATTTCCATAGTATTAAACTCTTAGAATAGTGGATTCATTTCCATAGTTGAGTCTATAGCATCATTTGTTTGTTGATGTACATATGTTATTAACAGAAAACACAGTTAGAGAATCATGGAAATGACAAATCAAGTGAATTTAACGGTTAGTTTTCTTTTCTCAGTGAAGCAGTTTGCGAGTCAATAGGAAGTCTCCCTCTTCCTCTCGACTTTTACCCAGTTTAAAATAGGACATGAATCATAGACTTTAGTTGATCTCACAGCCAACCTAACAAGTAGATTGAAACGGGACTTGAATCATAGAGTTCATCTGATCTCACAACGAACCCAAAAAATAGATCGAAACAGGTCGTGAATCATGGAGCTCACTTGATCCCACAACATGTTAAAAAGATTTGGCTACTACTTTCTTCCCTTAGATTTGGTATCAAAATGGGCGGCCTGGCCTTTCTCTTCTTCTTGCGCACCATCAATGCTGTTGGGGCTGCCCCCTCACGATATGGCATGCCGAGGAGAGCAAGCAGTCTTTGAGCCTCATTATCCGTCTTGGCCGTGGTCGTGATGCAAACATCCATTCCTTTCTGCTTACCCAGGGCTTCATATCGGATCTCCGGAAACACACTTTGATCACGAAATCCGGTGCTGTAGTTTCCATGCCCATCGAAACTGTTGGGGTCGACACCTTGGAAATCTCTGGTCCTAGGGAGACCCAGGTTTACAAGCCGATCCAGAAAGGAATATATTACCTACATTAAGCAAAACTATTCACCTAATCAAGCTCCAATGATCCTTAAATACGTTCCATAATTTTAAGGCAGAGTCTCAACAATTAATATCAGATACAAATATCAGCTAAATGCAAAAACAATGTGAAATAGTCAACAGCAAAAAACTCAAGTTAGCTTAACAAAAAAGGTATGAGACTCATCTGCAGCTTCACATATTAGTCATGTGTTCGCAGATACTAAAGAGACCATGTCATGTATACGTATAGGATTCTACTACTAAGAAAAGCAGAACAGGTAAACAACAATGAATAGTGATTGTTGAGAAGACAAATGGGATAGCTCATGAGCCACAGGTTAAGTAACAACAGTTCAGAAACGAGTCAAGCATCTTTCCAAGAGATCAAGCACACATAAAAATGGAAGAATTATTTGTGTCTGTATGATGGTACCTGTTGATTGAAAAGCAAATTACAGGTCACAAACATTTGATTCAACATAATCAGCTCCAAGATGCAGCATTTGCCTTGCACCGGAATCACACTTTTCCAAGACTCATTAAGCGATCGAATCCACCAGAGCATCGATCAACCAATTTGATCTGGAAACAACTCGACTTGACCTACCTAATACACAGATCTATGGAGCATGAGATTCTGACTTCTTTGATCTCCTTCCTAATAGTCTAATACTACAGCACTTGGCAATACACAAAACTCTTCGTTGCGAATTCAATATTTATCACGCTTGGGGGAGCATAGTCTCCTAGTATGTTTCATGAAATAAAGCACATACATGGTCCAATGCTGAATGTATATGCGTCCTTGAGCTTTTTACTTGGATTGACTCAGCATCTCTTTAGTATGCTTTAAGAATAAACCAATTCACATACTATTAAATGGAATCGAAACCAAAAGATCATGCAATACACTTTTTATATCCACCATAAACCTACAACAACTACAATTGTAATTGTTTAAACAACATAATTTGTTGGAACTGCTATAAACAAACAATTTCTAGCATGATCATAACACTTAATAAGAACTTTTTACTCAACCAAGAGGTTAATCTCTGCTGATTATACTCGATGATTGTTGTGGGAAACAATTTTGAGCCATGGCCTCGGGGCCGACGCGGCTCGGTTCGGGTCCGGACGACGGGGATCTCCCTGGGGTGTTCCTCGAGCCCGCTGAGGCGGTCGGGTGCGGTGTCCGATCGGGACAGTGTAGCTGTCTCCTCCGGGCAGGAACTCCTCGCCTGCGCGTCCGGAAGGGACCTTCGGCTTCGCACCTGCACAAAGGTCGGGCCGAGGCACTCGGCCCGACCCCTCCGACGATCAAGTTAGCAGATGTGGAGGGGGTTTCAGATGAAGAAGTATTTTTGTGTGTTTGTCTCTCCCCCCCCTCTTTCTAATGAACGAAAGGGTATTTATAGGGAAGCATACTGCTTCCTGAGCTGCCCGCTTGCAGGGGGCAGGCTGGTAGCGTCTGACTTTGTGTTGGCGTGGCGTGAAGAATTGAGCTTTGGCAGGATGTTAATGCGCCTCGGTCGACGTTCCGGTCTGCATTGACCAGGTGCTGTTGCGTGAGGCGTCATCTGACGTCAGCCGAGTCTTATCATAATTACTATCCTCATCAATGATCCTGTCAAATGATTACCTAATCTCATAAGAATGATCCATCAAAATTAATCATATAGTTTGCATTTTTCCAAACTAAAGAAGAAAACTGGAGAAAGATAAGTAGAAAGAAATTACTAGTGTGATAATATCTACAAATTAATATTACCATAGAGCTGAGATAGATAGTTATAATTGAACTACATAGAACAACTAAGATTCCCAAATGTCCAACTTAAACCGAGGTTAATAAGAGGTGGGTCGAGATGTCACTTACATTACCACGGAGGTTGACGGCAATGCCGACGGTGGCGCCCTCCCTCAGCTTGAATCTTGCAATGGACTTCTTCGCCTTGGTCTTCACCGGCCTCTGCCCGGTGATCAGCGCCAAGTCTCTCATTGCCGCCTCCAACCCCTTCGAATTCTGCTCCGCATCTCCCATCCCGCAATTCACCACTATCTTCTCTATCTTTGGCACCTAAAACCCCGTCCCCAACAGATACCGCACCCGTAACCTAACGCTGTAGATGAAGGAAGAAGGAAGGGCCCGGAGCAGGAGAGCAAACCCTAACCTCGTGGATGTTCTCGTAGGAGAACTCCTCCTTGAGGAGGGGCACGACCTTCTCGAGGTAAACGGTCTTGAGGCGGTTGACCTTTTCGGCCTCGGAGCGGTCCACGAGGACGATGCCGGTTGGGGACGTCGCGGGCGACGGAGGAGGGGCGACGGAGACACTGGCTCGCACCGTGAGCCGGCCGGTGGAGCCGAGGCGGAGGGCGGGGATCCGGTAGGCGGAGAAACGGGGAGACAGAGTGGCGGGCAGCGGGAAGCGTGTCGCGGAGGCTGCGGTCGCCATTTGGGCAGTGACGAAGTGAAGTGGTTGCTCGGATGGCGATTTAGATAGGAGGCAGTTATAAACCCCTTTTATTTTGTATCTATATATCCTTAAAGATTAAATATAATATACCATTTATGTATATATACGCCTACAAGTGTAAACATCCATTAAAATTAATTAAATGTTTCTTTAATCATAATTATTATAATTTATTTAATCGAAGGATATTAATGGAAATTAGTCTCGATAATAGTTAGATTTAATGTCTAATACATAAATAAAGAATCTCAAAAAGCGGAGATAAATAGGAAGAACGCAGAAAGCTGTGGCTTTTCCTCTCGGCCAAATTTGCTTCCCACATCGGTAATAAGCCTTGGCAGCAGATCTCAAAGCCGGCGGAGGGAGGCGATGGCGGACAAGCCGAGCCGAGCGCTGGTGATCTACGGCGATGGCCACGCCCCCCTCGTCGCGTCGCCGCACGCCCATCTCCACTCCTTTGCCTCCCGAGCCTCCTGCGGCTTCCTCTCACTCAGAGCTCCTCCCGACCCCAATGGTAACTCTCGTTCTCTCCTTCCCCTCCTTCTTCCATATGTATCTACAATGCAAGATACCAGCGATGATCGATCGATTTCCGGCGCCGCCTGATTGACAGGGGCTTGGGATGTCGGTAGGGTTCCGTGTTTTCTTAGCGTTCATTATCTCTGTGATTAATGAGTGTTTGCGCTTAAAATTTTTATCCAGGAAAAGATTTTGCTTGGTGTATTATTAGGCACTAAAGGAAGAGAAGAAATATGAGTGTGATTTGTTGGGAATCATCGTCTGGATTTTGGTTGGAGAGGAAGAGGGCTTTGTGGTTAAAGATTGAGCTGGGTAGTATATGTTCCAACATCTTTTGATGTTGAAAGGAAGGTTCATGTTTCTTGGTTCTCTTTTATTAAGAATGAAAATCGAATTTACTGGAACTTGGATCAGTGTGGACTAACAATATGTTCCATAGATTTGCTCTATCTATAGTGTCCTACTCTGTCTTTCACTTGGAATTTCACCTTTCTTCTCTCTGGCATCCCATTTGTGGCGAAAATAAGTGCAGATTGTGTTGAATATGCCTTGTTTTCACCTTTCCTGAGATAGTAAACTAGGGTTTTGAAATAAGAATGAGTTCTACATGTCTATATGTAGTGGAATGTTATCACCTATTTTAGTTCTTCTTGTTCATTCAAGTCAGAATATTCGCGCTAAGTACTTTAAGACTTCGCTTTCTCTCTCTTCCACATGTTTGGATGTCCTGAATTTTTTTGCTTTGGATGATTGAAATTTAGATTATTTGTTTTAGTGACCAAATCTGTAAAACTTCTCGTCCTAGTAGTTTTTATAAAGTTTGAAGATTTGAATTTGTATGTTTCTGTTCTTTCATGAAGTCTGTTAGTGTTATGCATTAGGATCTTCCTTTAAACATGCCTGTTATAGTTGTGTTTGATGATTTTGATCCATGTAATTAACTTACTTGGATGAATGTCATATTCATTATATGCATGATTTTGTATTTTGTTGCTGATTTTATGGTTGTCATATGGATGGTGACATTAGCTTTGTTAACAAATGTTGATCATTGATGTATTTTACAATGTTATGTTTTGTATGCATATCTGTAGGTACTAGACTTGAAATTTAGACAGATTGGTAACTTGTGTTGGTATTATTATCTGCAAAAAGTGAAGAACCGGTTTGATAGCACAATGGCATTGTTTGTATTGATATTGCTTCTTGATTGCTCTCTGCGAGGGAAACTGATATGAAGTTATAGCATTTCTTTATGATTCTTGTTTCTGGCATTGCTTGACAACAGAGGGAAGACGTTGTACCTGCCTCTGAATTTGTCCATGTTGAGAATGGTTCTGAGTTCCGTCATCTTCAAAGCTTTACCAACCTTCTAAGATTTGGCATCCTTTCAATATTATATATTTTATCTAAAATCTGTCTCTGTTTATCCCTGTTTCATTGTGACACATTCGATGATATAAGAAAGGCTACAAAAGCATAACAGCTTGCTTTACTTGCAATCGGTATTCTTAATTTTATTGTCGATAAATTTTATTATCTTCAAAAAGTGTTAGTTTGTTTGGATGAGCTATAGCTTGAGCAGATATCTTCTCTATGCCCATTATCTCTTTCTTAGACGCTAGGCTGCAACCTTTAGTTGTCGTTTCCTCTTGTTGAACTGATGGACTCATTATTTTTTGGTTGTATGTGAACCTCAGAATCAGAAAATGACAGGGTAATTAGAGAATTATCACAGCTACTGGATGCATATGATATGTATATGGTGAGGATGAGATTACATTACTGCTGTATGTTTCTTGGAAAAAGAAGAACAAGCTATCAGTATCTGACTTGTGTCTTTTTGTTTTTTGGGTTTCAGAAAAAATATGGTAACACAGATATGAATGAAGACCTAAAAGATTCTTCAGTTCCAACAATCTCAAAGAGGTTCAAGACTGTTTACTTGTGATACAGTTAAGTTTTATTTCTATAAGAGTCTTGGGTATAAAAATAATTGTCTTCTATTAAATTTCAGGTTCATGGACCTTAGAGCTGCCATACTTACCACTTGCCCTGATGTTGGATCCTTTGCTGCAAATCTTGGTTTTAGTGTTTTACAAATTTCTGAGTTGATTGGGCAAACTCCTACTGGTGTTGAACCCCCAGAAGTCTCTGATAACCTCATCAGAGTGTTTGAATTACTGAAACTTCTAGGATTTTCAGGAGGGGATGTTCTTGAAAAATATGAGTTTGATTTAGTGATTTTGCACATCAAGCCTTGTGATCAGTTGAGAGATGAGAAAGGATCAACGGTTATCAAAACTGATACTGATTTTCTCAACAAGTTAGTCGGTGGAGTGATGCATGCAGCTCAGCCTGGATCAAAGATTGCTTGTCGTCTGCATTTCTCCATTATACTAGGTTATGGTACTGTTTCTGATGGTGACCAAAACTGCTCCTTGATTTTGAACTCATCAGCTGAAACAAGTTCTGATGTATTGTTGCTTCGTCCTCATCAAAGCTACACCATGAAAAGTGGAAATATATTGACAGACATTAGGTATCATAAGTTACATGTATTGGGTTATGGTCTTTCTTGTAGTTAGGATGTTGTTGACAACCTATTAATGAATTGCAGGCATCACCACCCAATGTTGATTGCTCAGTGGCAGGAGGGTGTAACTCGCCAGGATACAGCCAACAAGTTTGGCTTTGAAGAATTTAAGGAGGTAATTGTGCTTTGATGGGATTTAATGCTTACAGTCAGGCTTTTGTGTGTGGTTTATCATCTAAAACAATATAATTTAAGATTTTGATATATCCTTCCGGTATGTGGACTATAATGCATGCTATTGTTGACACATAATGTGTAAACCTATGCTTCTGTAGCTTTTGTTTATCATTATGTAGATTGTTCTCATCACGGAGATAACTGATGTTGTCCCTGTGGAATTATGCCAGAACTGCTCTCTTTTTCCTAGCATGTCCTCCGAACCGTCATGTAGTAATAATCATTGTTCCTTGTTGATGTATCCGTAATAGTGTATATTAACTGAAATCATAATCAGTAGTTCATAGTCATGCATAGTTTTATTTACAATGGACTTATTGTAGCCACGAAACATGGACTGTTGTTTGTCATCTCTTCCACCAGAATCAAGGACTAAAAGCAGTAGGTATCTCATATATTAACGTACTTGTCTACTTTTTATTATAGATCCGACTTTTACACTGTTAAAAACATTGTATGCCCTATAACAATTCAGTTTGAGTAATCATTTTGTCTAATATATGAAGAAATTTAAATATCATAATATAATAAGTTTTTCATATCTGGTAAAGATTACATTTCCTGGCTGATGTGTGCTTTTATCCTATCATGCAGCGAGGGGGGAATTTTGCTATACTTGCAGACAGGTTTCTCCATGAGGTGGCATTTAAACTTTGGAAGGCACCTAAATATGGAGCATGATCGCATCATACTTGCAGGTGCATTTTCATGAACCACTCAATTTAGGCTGAAAGGTGTTGCAGCACCAAAACTTGCTGATAATAATAATAATAATACTGGGGCATTATATTATCTAGTGTAGTGTGATGATATATGAGATCCATGGATCTTGTTTCTAATATTATTCTTAGAGAATACTCCAACGATATTGCCATTCAAAAGAGTATGGCAAGAGGGAAAAATGTATTCATCTCTAATTTGTGCTACTCTGATGAAATCAACAGTTTGCCAGCTTTAACCAAGGGTTAACTCTTTATCATATTCTGTTCTTTTTTTGTCTTTGGCTTCTATTGTTTCCTTAGTGGCTTTAAATGAAAAGAAAACATTGTGAAGTGTCCTTAGGTTCGCGTCTCATGCATTGACCTTCGATCTTTAAATCACATCAATCTAATTAAGCCAAAAAATGATCCTCAAGATATAAGGGCTAAAATGCGAAGGCATTTTGGGCATATTAATATCCAACGTCTGGCCCTTGATGTGGGTCGCGCTCCTCAACCCAGGAGGGACGGAGCCTGTGGCCGTCAAGAAGATCGCGCGGATCGCGAGATCATCAAATCAAATCGCGCCCGTCCGATCTCTCCACCACCGGCAGACCGCATCACAACTTTGCCATAACCGCCGTTGGCCCCCTCTCCCGCACCCTGTATAAATTGTCCTCCATTCCAATGAAGGGAATCAAGAAACCCCCAGGAGGAGACGGCCATCTCCATCGCTCGACGAAGCAATCTGCTCCGCAACTCCACCGGCGGCAAGGCCCATCGCATATTGCCCGCCGCCATGGTCTCTCTCTCTCTCTCTCTCTCGATCCCATAGCTCTTTAATGATCTCGATCGCGATTGTTGGATTTTCTCCGTCTTTTGATTCATAGGTGGCGCAGAAGCAAGAGCCTAGGCCGAGCGGGACCATGAGGCGGCACCGGTTCCGGCCGGGGTGGGTGGCGCTGAGGGAGATCCGCAAGTACCAGAAGAGCACGGAGCTCGTCATCCGCAGGATCCCCTCCTCCATGGATTTCTTTTGAACTCCTATGAATCATTTCATTCTTCTCAAATCCCTCCCTTGTCTTTTGTCGCCAGACCCATAACCGCAAAGTTCATGACAATTCCACCCAACCATCATCTAAGTGCAGCAGTCAGATGGGACCATGGATGCCGACGATCTCGAGAGCTAGGACAAATCCTTCCTGCCGGCATCCGACGAAAACTCCGATCGATTGCTCCACTCCTACAGTCAAGTCTTTAACGATTTCGCCGCTGCGGAAAGACGAAGCGAGGAAGATAGCAAGGACGGAGAACCTCCTGCGCGCATACCCCCGTCAAGTATTGCCTCTTCTCACCACCCACTCGCCGGACTGCCTTGACCTCACAAGGTAAGGCCACGGCGCTTGTGGAAAGCTTCAAACCTCGGACGAACTCCACCAGCACGCGCGCCCCTACGCGTTGGAGCCCGGACTAGAATGAGTCATGATAACTTAGCAGTAGAATTGCCGTACTTCATTCGACCATTACTATGAAAGCAGAGCACTGGCAATGCACTGTACCTCCAACGAACTGGAGTCCTAGTTTTAAACAGATGAGTACCATGTTTCGTTGACGGTCTTCATTTGCTGGGCCGGATTGAGCGAAGCGTTTCTTGCCCCCAAGGCACCTTAGGGTTGCCAAGTAATCAACAGAATGCTCACACCACAGGCGACACTGTGCTCGATAAATCACCGTCGAGCACACCCACCTCTAATAATCTGAGTTTTCATTGGACACCAGGCGGGTCCCATGCCACGACACAGCACGACTTTGTCCACTGTTTTGGATAAGAATGAAAGAACGAGAGAGAGAGAGATAGCAGGTGACTTACCCACCGGGCCCCACATGGGTTCCCATGCGAGCCTCGATTCTCCGAACAACAAGGCGAGGGGCTAAGCTCAAGACGTAGCCAGTGGACATGAGGAACGTCACGCCACGTCACGTCACGACACGTCACGTGGTTCTCGACCACAGAGTGCCGCGGGACCCACCATCACATCGAACCACAACGGGAGAAGAGGGCACTGAGCTGGTCGAACAATGGGTTTTGTGAGTCGACCGACTTCGGACGATGCACACTGTTACAACAATAGAAGAGGAATGAAACGAAGAAGGCAACTCTTGGACCCAATTCTAGTCCTCGGCGCTGCTGTCGTCCTCGTCTTCTTCGTCTTCGTCGTCCTCGTCTAGCTCTTGCACCTGCCCGCGTCGCGAAGCGACGGGAGCTGACATCAGTCGCGGCTCATGCTTCCTACCCGCCGCAGGAGGGCTCGCGGCGGAAGGCTCACCCTCCGGCCCGGTGGCCACGTTGACGCCCGAGAACAGCCCTCCAGCGGATATCGGACGGGCCGAGGCAAGCTGGATGATCTGCGGCGTCTGGGGGAACGTCCACACATGTGACTGGCTCGATGTGCCCGCCACAGCGGTGGACGGCTGTGGCAGCACCCACAGCGCTCCCGGCGGTATCACGCTGGCCCCCGCAGCGCTGCCTCCGAGCGCCCACATGGGCACCACCCCCTGCACCCCTGCCCCGATCGGTGCCAGGCCAGAAGGTATCGAGATCGCACCCCCCACCGGGAGCAACGGGTCTTGCACGGGGTAGTGATTGGCGATGGCTGCGCTACGGCCCGTCCGCGACGGCTGGAGCTTCTTCCTCCGCTTCTTTCCCGCCTCCTCGTCGTCGGGAGCAACCGGGTCGTCCGCGGCCGCAGGGGCGGATGTGGAGGTCACCGGAGCGGAGGTAGGCGCCTCGGTGGGGATCTTGAGGGTCCCTCCGACGTTGGTGGCGATGGCGGGGACGGTACCGGTGCCGGTGGCGGCAAGGATCGCTGGTTCCGCGCGCTCCAGGAGCCACTGTATCGTCTCGCCGTCGGACTTATGGCCAAGCTCGCGGGTGAGCTGGAAGATGCGGGCGGCACACGCCGCCGGCATCCGGATCCTCCGGCCCCGGCCCTCAACCTTCGTGTGGCGGTCCTTGGTTCGGCTGGCCGGCCTCCGGATCAACTGGAACGCACCCATCCCCAACATCTCGATGTGCTCCGGCTTGGGGACGATGAATCGGTGGACCGGTATGACCGCCGGCGGCGGGGTCGCCAGCGCTCCGCCTCCTACACCACCACCTCCATCGCCGCCACCGGCTCTAAGGTCACTCTTTCCCGGCCTGTCGTCTCCGTCGCCCCTCTGGGATTCCATACCTCCGCCTTACCTTCTGCGGAAAAGCTCACAGCTTTTCTCTTTCCCTCCTCTCTTCTCTCCCGAGAATTAACAGATCGCACGCGCTCTCCCAACACCAAAAGATGGGATCGATCGAAACCCTACAAGCCCGCCTCCCCTCCTTTTATCCTAATCCGACGGCAAATGGACTACTATTCTTACTGGGACGAGGTTCCCTGCTCTGCTGACCGTCGGATACCCAGTGGGTTCCACTCGGTCAGCCTTAGGGATAATGGAGACCGTTCATCCGGGAAATTCGATGAACCCAATCTTCCAATTAATCTTCCCAAGGCAGAAGGGGGCCGTCGGCCGGGACCCATGGGCTCCACACATTCCCCAATCAAAGCCAGGTAGAAAACCGGGTTTCGAATTCACTGGTAAACGTCCTCGAACTCGATATTCTTAAAATACATCTGTTCTCATCTTACATAACACACCGAAGTGATGCGCCAAGCGTGGGGCCCATGACTCGGCGTCCCCTTCTCACTTAGCTGTGGGCGGGGTTTCGCCACTAAGCGATGTGGGGTCCATTGAGGACCTAAAAAAAGTCGAGGAATTAACCCTCGAGCGGGGCGGCTCTTCGGCATGGCGGAGTGGTTCCCACGTGGGTGGTGATGTGGGTTGGCGGCCAAACTCTCGGGCCCCATGACTCAGGCGACTCGTCTCGTGGGTGCGCGAGGGGCGTTGGTGTGAGCACGCGGGCCGAGCCGGCGTGGTTCCCACGCCAAAGGGATCACGCGATGGGTCGAGGCAAGCGGGTGACGACGGAGGTGGGTCCCGCAAACGGTGGAGCAACGTTTCGAGCGCTCGTTGGGTGCTTTTCTATTTCTTTTTCCTGTTTGGAGGTAGATGTGGGACCGGGTCATGTAGTGCAAGGGAACCCGCACCCCACTTTTGGGGGAATGGTAAATTGGGCTGGTTTTGAATCTTGGGTCGTCAGAGACCACCGGCGTTGATCGCCTGCTCCTCCACCTGCTTTCACCTTCCCTGAGCCATGCGGGCCCCACAGCTGCTTCTCCAATCGTCTCGCTTACCTCCATGACACGGCGGTGAGGACAGCCAGATATCCTTTCACCTCTCCCCCATCGGACGGTTACCCATGCCTGAGTGTCCCCACCCCCCGCCACCCCCGCGTGGCCAGCTGGGGACAGCTGGAAGAGGGGACCACCACGTAGTTGTAGGACACGTGGTAGAAACGGGCCGGACCATCCTTCCCGCCGTCCGCAGATCGAAATTTCCCATCCGTGGCGGGGGTTGGGAGGGGCCCGCTTGTGGAGCCGCGAACCTCCAATCGTAGGACAGGTAGGTAACCCTGTTGAGTGGTCGTACGGCGGTCCTCCGCAGGAAAGCAAAGCACGGATCGAACCCCGCCAAAACAGAGACAGAGTGAGAGAGAGAGAGAGAGAGTTCCCTTTGTTTCGTCGGATCGCACCAAAACAAATGGCACTGTAAACAAAGCGAGAAAAGGGAAAAGAACGTTACTTTGAATGCTCAGGATTGGGATAATAAAGTTAGGAAGGTTATGCAGCATTTATGTACTAAGTCTAATCATCCTAAATTTAGGATTGTTCGATTCATTTGTTTTTCTCATCCACCGAATTTTTTATTTTTATTTTTAATATATTTTAAGTTTTTCCCTATATGTAATTGATATTGTTATTTTCTTGGTGCTATCGACCGGAGAGCTAGCATGATTTGGTTCTATCTCGAAGGCACAAAGCTATTCGAGATGTCCGATTGCATAGGTGCAATTTGGATGGAAGACTAAGGTGACAGGTGGGCTCCGAAGGTGTCGTTAGCTCGCGATGATTGACTCGTAATCATCACGAGATGTGGCTCGTATATTGAAGAAAGCTCAAGGTTGTCCCAAGAAACGCCTAGGTTTTGGTTGAAAATGCTCCTTATCGCCCTTAGGTACTCCTTAGATGTATTAGAGTCATGCACAAACGGTCAGTATAGAGACATATCTCAACCTAACCCCTTTGATACTTAAGTTAATAGAACGAGTGAAGAGGGTTTTATAG